GGAACCATTTAACACTGACAGGGGTGCTTATAATGATCAGTTTTTATTCACTTATGTAAAATCTTTATCCAAAACAAAAAAAAAACTGCTAAAAAATGTTAATTGGAGTCTGGCAATCATCAAACAAAATAATAAACAAAGTGCATCTGAAGGTAAAGCATTATTATTAGGCTCCATACACACTAGCTTTTTTTTTTATCAATTCAAAAACCGCTGAAATAATGCTGGATAAAAAACACTGTTACCGCTGACAGGGCTTCCATCTTCCCCTGGTCTTCCTTCCTGATGTCACTGAGTATGCCGTTCCTTCAGAGCACTGTGCTGTGGCTCATGACTCCCCCACGCATGTGTGGGAGCGATGTCAATCACGACTCAGCCAGTCAGAAGGCCAGAGCTCGCAAACCCGGAAGGAAGACCAGGGGAAGATGGAAGCCCTGTCAGCAGTGACAGTGCACCACTGGAGGGCTTTGTTTTAAGCTAAGTACAGCGAGGTCTATATATATTTGGACACAGGCACAATTTTAGGTTTTCCGGTATTTACCAAAACATCTTCACGCTATAGGTATATAATGAATATGGGCTGAAAGTGCATACTCTCAAGTTTAATTTGAGGGTACATACATCCAAATTGGAGGAAGGGTTTAGGAATTACAGCACTTAAGAGTAGGCACCCCCTCTATTTCAAGGGACCAAAAGTAATTGGACAATTGAATCAAAAGCTGTTTCATGGCCAGGTGTGGGCTACTCCATTATTTCTTCATCAATTAAGCAGGTAAAAGATCTGGAGTTGATTCTAAGTGTGGTATTTGCATTTGGAATCTACAATATTGCTGTGAACCTGCATTATGTGTTCAAAGGAGCTGTCCATGCAAGTGAAGCAGGCCATTGTAAGGCTTCAAAAATTAAACAAATCCATCAGAGAGATAGCAGCAACATTAGGAGTGGCCAAATCAACATTTTGGTACATTTTGAGGAAAGAAGAACGCTCTGGTGAGCTCAGCAACATAAAAAAGGCATGGACGTCCACGGAAGATAACAGGATCCTCTCTATGGTAAAGGAAAAAACCCATTCACAACATCCAGACAAGTGAAGGACACTTTCCAGGAGGTGGGCGTATCATTGCCACAGTCTACAATCAACAGAAGACTTCAGGATAGCAAATACAGAGGGTTCACCACAAGGTGCAAACCATCCATAAACTTGAATAGAAAAGCCAGATTAGACTTTGCCAAAAAAACATCTAAAAAACCCAGACCAGTTCTGGAAAACAATTCTTTGGATGGATGAAACTAAGATTAATCTGTACCAGAATGACAGAAAGAAAAAAGTGTGCAGAAGGCTTGGAACGTCATCTGTAAAACATGGTGGATGGAATGGGCATGCATGGCTTCCAGTGGCACTGGGTCATTGGTGTTTATTGATGATATGACTGAAGACAGAAGCAGCCGGATGAATTCTGCAGTGTTTAGAGATATACGGTCAGCCCAGATTCAGCCAAATGCACAAAGTTGATTGGACGGCGCTTCACAGTACAGATGGACAATGATCCAAAACATTGCAACACAAAAAGAACCCAGGAGCTTTTGAAGGAAAAGAAGTGGAATATTCTGCAATGGTTGAGTCAATCACCTGATCTCAACCCAATTGAGCATGCATTTCACTTGCTGAAGGCAAAACTAAAAGGCAGAAAGACCCACAAAGAACAACTGAAGACAGCTGCAATTAGAGCCTGGCAAAGCATCAGAAAGGATGAGCACTGATAGGCACTGATGAAGTGGAACGGATAGGCAGCACTGATAGGCGGCACTGATGATGCTGCACTGGTAGGTGGCACTGATGGGCAGCAGTGATGAGTGGCACTTCTGGGCACTCATGGGCAGCACTGCTGACTGATCATCAGTGCCGATCTCTGTTCTGACAATTACCGGTTATTGGCAGTACTTTCCTCACGCTGTGACAGCATGAGGAAAGTGCAGCCGATAACTGGCAACTGTATTTACCCGGTGATCTGTTGTGTTATTGGACATACCTGATCACATTGTAAAAGGCCACTGTGATCAGCTGTGTCCGTAGGCGCTGGAGGTGTCGCGTTGTAGCTGTCTTTCAACTATAGCACAATTGGGAAGAGGTTAAAGCTGAAAGTCTGCACTTCAAATTCATTTGGATTGTTTCGTTTTAATTTATTCTGGTGGCATACAGAGCCAAAAGTATGAAAATTGTGCCTGTGTCCAAATATATATGGACCTGTGTTTCATAATGTGCTAGTGTGTGATGTATACTAGCATATTATGTAATTGCCTTGCAGGGGACTTTTTTTTTTTAAGCTGCAGTTTACTACCACTTTAAGCTCCTATAAATTGTTATCAGCACTTATTTGTGCTCCAGGAAGCTAAACAGTGTTATCCTATGTATCTATGTACACTGTTTAAGGCTAGTAGTGTTTTTAAAGATTCAGCATTTAGGAGCAGGGAAAAAAAAATTGTTTTTGTAGAGTTTTTGGGAGTGCTTTTCTGACAGAGAAAAAAAATGGTAAACGCAACTATAAAAAAATGCAATTACCAGCGTTTTTTGAGCTTTACAAAAAAAAAAAAAAAAAAAAAAGTGCGTGGAGCCTAATAATAATAATAATGGTTTACCTTCAGATACACATTGTTTACTATTTTGTTTATGATGCTTTTATAGGTATTGCATGAACTCTACCAGACTCCAATTAACATTTTTTAGCTGTTATTAAAACAGGTTTTTTTTTTTAAAGATTTTACATAAATGAACAAAAACTGACCATGGTAACCACATGCATCAGCTGCCAAAAATGAGGAATATGTACTAAAAGGTGCATGTTTAGGAGATATTCATTTTACCTATAAGTAAGCTTTATTATAAGCAAGCTAACCTGTAGGTAAAAGATCATAAAGTGGACTTTACTGGTACTTAAAAAAAAAAAAAAAAAAACCTCCTAGATTGTAAGCTCGAAAGAGCAGGGCCCTCAAACCCCTCGTGTATTGTTTTGTTACTGTATTGTCGCATGTACTGTCCCCCACTACAATGTACAGCACTGAGCAAACCTTTTGGCGATATATAAATACTGTATAATATTAAAAAAAAAACCCTAGTGTGCATGGAGCCTAACCTTTCTATGAAGTGATTAGAATCCCTGCCAGAATTTTATTACTGTGTCCCCTCTAGAGAAATTGACTCACTTGTCTTGGCAACCTGTGTCACCAAAAATCCAATATTCTGAGCTGATACCAGGGAGGAGCAAGGAGGAAATCTTCCAAAAAGGATCGTGTTCGAAAGATAATTGTCTAAGAGTGAGTTTTCCTAATTTTTAAGAACTTATTCTTACTTCCAATCATGTCTACGAGTGGGTTTTCCTCACTTTGGAGAACTTACTCTTCCTTCCAATCATGTCTATGAGTGGGTTTTCCTCACTTTTGAGAACTTACTCTTCCTTCCAATCATGTCTACGAGTGGGTTTTCCTTACTTTGAATAACTTACTCTTCCTTCCAATCATGTCTACGAGTGGGTTTTCCTCACTTTGAATAATTTACTCTTCCTTCCAATCATGTCTACGAGTGGGTTTTCCTCACTTTGAATAACTTACTCTTCCTTCCAATCATGTCTACGAGTGGGTTTTCCTCACTTTGGAGAACTTACTCTTCCTTCCAATCATGTCTACGAGTGGGTTTTCCTCCCTTTGAAGACTTACTCTTCCTTCCAATCATGTCTACGAGTGGGTTTTCCTCACTTTGGAGAACTTACTCTTCCTCCAATCATGTCTACGAGTGGGTTTTCCTTCCCTTTGAATAACTTACTCTTCCTTCCAATCATGTCTACGAGTGGGTTTTCCTCACTTTGAATAATTACTCTTCCTTCCAATCATGTCTACGAGTGGGTTTTCCTCCCTTTGAAGACTTACTCTTCCTTCCAATCATGTCTATGAGTGGGTTTTCCTCACTTTGGAGAACTTACTCTTCCTTCCAATCATGTCTACGAGTGGGTTTTCCTCACTTTGAAGAACTTACTCTTACTTCCTGTCATGTCTACAGGACAGGAAGTGAAGTGAAATATCCCCAATGGGACACAGATTGAAAAAAGAAAAGACAAAAAAACACCCTTCCTACTCTATTCAAAGAAAAAAGGTTTGGTTTAAGGTGTACTATAGCTGTAGAACCACTTCCTATAAAGGCACTGGAGGTGACAGGACAAAGCTTCATTTAATGTTGTTGGAGACGTCCAGCCAGTTCCTGGGAAGTAGCTGAAATGTATAAAGCCACAATGATTTCTTTCACAGCTTGACCTCAAAGAAATTAAACTCTGGGTGTCGGCTTGCAGACTGAAAAAAGCGTCTTTCAGAGGCAATGTGTCCTAAGCTACACAAGAAGCTTCTGTACACAAGCAACAGGCACTGGAACAGATGTGCTATTAACCTGATATTTTTAGAAAGTAAAAGGGGTCATTTACATTTGTGTGCATCTATTCTGTTAATTACACATAACCTGCTCATGAGTTATAAGTGTCTGGTCTCTCCAATTACATTAAACCTTGGGAACAGAAAGCAAAATGGACAAAAAGAAGGGGCAAGTGCAGCACTGTTGTTTTTGAACATTGCAGCAAATGATGAGTGTCTGTGAGTGACACCTTTGTTTCTCCAGTTTGCATACAACATGCCTCTGTGACTGTGGTTATGCTAGACACAAAGCATCAGAATGGGCACTTTTGATGAATTGTAAGAGCCAGCCTCACTACACAGAAACAGGATGAATGACAAATACAACGTGCACAATAACAGTAGCCCAGAAAGAAGAAACGTGACATTCACAACAGTCAAGCCATAAGCCAGTCCCAGCTGTTTTCTACTACCACCCTCTCATGTCAAAGCACACCCTCAGACAAACCTCCTTTCCTCCCCTTTCTGTACAAGTGTAATTTAAAACCTCCCATCTCTTAGGCAACGGAATTAGCCAGGCACTGCTAAGGGTAGAGACAAGCTGTCAGGGAGCACCAAGCAACTGCTGGCTGCATGGGGTGACAAGGGACAGAGCAGTTCTGGAGTGCAGGGTAAGCCTCACCATGTGCAGCTTTTACATCTTCTATGTACTTTTATTTGCTTTGACAAACTTCACTGACTTGCAGGATTCACTAGTTTGCTGTTTCTAATAAATCATGCAGGGATCAGAACTAAAAAAAAGTAAAGAGAAGTCAGACATTAATGACTTGCAACCTCCTTGGGATGTAACCTGCATTCTTGGACAGAACAATATCATAAAAAGAATACAAAAAGCATAGTTTATCTCATGATCTGTAGATCTTCTTGAATTTTCTTATTTGCCTGGGGTCCGACAGAGCACAACCACAGGAAGGGTGAAAACTCCAGGCTTGCAGAACATGGAATAGTAGTGTGTTTACAGATATCTTGGCTGTGAGTAGTCACGGAATTCATTCCTGCTGAGTATGGTCCATGTAAGTCATGTACACGCCAACAGATCCTGCCAAATACTAGTGTTGTCATTTTATTACTAAGTGCTGGAAGAGCTCATAGCTCTGAACATTACAAATGCTGATTTGGATTTCTCTGCAATTCACATCATTTGCAACTTTGACAAAACGTTTTAAATCAGTGGAATTAAAAACCTTCCTGGGACCTTATAGCAGTGATTGCAATAAAGATCTGGGGTATACAAAAGCATGTACATGACCTAAAGCAGTCTGTGACCGTTCCGTGCAACCTATGGTAGAACAGTTGTATCTGAACAATGAGCTTCACTGCAAGCTATTAACTTTCAACAGGTGCAGACAGGAAGAGTGCTGCTATTCATCCCTATCCAATAAAAGGAAAACAGAAGACACTTACATGAATGGGGGACTGAAAACACTGATGAAAGAAAATCCCATATCTTTATAACAATTGAAGATATCTAATTAAGGAGAATATTAATATACAAAACTGCATTTCTGCTCATAAGAGTGTTAGTCCACCTGCAAGTGATATGTTATTTTTATGTGGAGCTCAGTGGTCACCTGGATTCCCATATATTGAGTACTCCCTCTTTCTTGCTCTGTTTTTATACACCTTCAAGTTGTGGGTCTTCTTGTCCATCACTGCAAATTCTTAATCATATATATATTTAAAAATATTTTATAACAGGGAGAGTAGGAACCTCCTTATATTGGTTGTAACAAAGAACAAAAACAAAAGTGCACCAACCTTGCACATTACCTCAGTAAGTAAAAGGGTGAATTTATTAAATTGAGATATATACTCACAAAGTAGCAATAATAAAAGCATATAGAAATCCAACATCAGTGCACTGGGATAGCAGACACGTGCGGGTCCCATCTAGAGGGGAGAAGCTGACATGTTTTGAAGAGTGTCCCCTTCTTCCTCAGAGCTCTGAGGAAGAAGGGATCACCCTTCGAAACGCGTCAGTTTCATCCTGAGAGTCTCCCCTCTAGACTTCAGAGAAGTGAGCCTGCAGAGGACAGAACCAGAGACTAGGTAAGTTTTGCAGTGAAAACTGTTTTTTTAATTAAAAACTACTAGGTGGCAAATTTATTATTTTTAATTTTTTAACTGGAATTGGGCTTTAAGCTGAGCTATGAAGCTGGCAAATAAGACGTGAAACAAAGTATCTGATAAATATTGAATATTCAGAAGTCACCTCAAAGCCTTTTATTTTTCCCTCTTTTGGGTGAAGGAAGGCAAGATTTGATTACCCAAAATCTCTTTGTTATTGCTTGTGCCTTCGGAGGAGAGCTTTTTCTACTGTATATAGTTATGACAAATCTACAAAGACTTTGGTGACATTATCATTTAATTACCAGCACAAGGCTTGTGTCACCCTAGTGGATTCGCTGAACGAATGTTAAAAGTAGGGATGCACCGAAATTTCGGTGGCTGAAAATACCCCTTTCAACCGTCAGCCGAAATGAAAAAAGCACTGATACAGGTGCCGAAAAAAACCTGCCCTTCGCCCGCCACTTGGTGGTTCTCAGCCTTACCTGAGAAACCATCGAACAATCCCAGCGCTGAGCATAGAGATGAGTGAAGGAAACATGGCCTCCACTCATCTCTATGCCCTTGTAGGACCGGAGCGATGTCACTTCCGGTTCCGGCCATGTTTTTTTTTTTTTTTTTAAAGCACTAGATCAATTTTTTTTTTTTTTAATGCTTTACATTGCAGAGGAGAGATGTGGGGTCTTATTGACCCCATGTCTCTCCATAAAGAAGATCTGTCACTAATTATTTCTATCACAAGAGATGCATGCATTTCTTGTGATAAGAATAAAAGTGATTAAAATTTTTTTTTTAAAGGGACAGTGCAAAAAAAAAAACAAAAAAAAAAAAAAAAACATTAAATGAATAATAATAATTAAAAAAAAAGTTTAAAGTGCCCCCGTCCTCTCACGTAGTGGTGAACACATACGTAGGTCATACCCACATAAGTAAATGGTGTTCAAACCACACACATGAGATATCGCCATAAACATCAGAGAAAGAGCAATAATTCTCGCACTAGACCTCCTCTGTAACTTTACACTGGTAACCTGTAGATATTTTTAAAGCATCACCCATGGAGATTTTTAAGTACAGCATTTTAATGCCATTCCACGACCGTGCGCAATTTTAAAGCGATACATATTGGGTATCTATTTACTCGCCGTAACATCCTGTTTCATATTTTACAAAAAAAATTGGGGTATATATAGTTTGTTTTTTTCCAAAAAATATATATTCATTTTTAAAAACTGCACATTTCGGTTTCGGTTTTCAGCCAAGTGCATTTTGAATTTTCAGTTTCGGCACTAGAATTTTCATTCCGGTGTGCCACTAGTAAAAAGGCAACTTTACCCCATCCCTCTGAGTGGCAGCCATCTACAAAACACTTATGGTCAGCATCTCTTCCGGAGAGTGTCCCTGCCTGATACTGCACAGCGGTTGCAGAAACCTATTATCTATCAAACGCATCGTGTGCATTGGGTAAAGTAGCCTTTTGCTAGAAACTCGTACTAAGGGACAACCACTGGTGACTCCTGTTATTGCTAGTTGCCTGGCTCCCATTCTGATCCAATGTTTTAACATTTTTTTGAGGCACTAATCTGGAAAAATTATCTAGATCAGTTCTTAATTTGCAATCAGCATGACTCAGTGACTCAAACTATTGAAGCCAGAGAATAGTCAGCAAACCAGTATTCTATGGAGGAACTATGCAAATAGAAACACCTGTACATTTGTCCTTTAAGAGTGCAGCCAATGAAAGCTATCTCTAGCAAATCCAAGTAGTTTCACTGATTGTAGTTGTGCAAGTTTTTTTATTTTGGTTAGTAACAAATGCCACCCATCAATGTCCTTAGCTGTTTGCTGCAACCCTATTCATTATATTGGAGGAAAGCTTGGGAGTAGCACATTCCCTGCCCTGCCTGTGGGGCATCATAGCATCAAACAAATGCAATGTGACTAAGGCAACACACAAAGGCGAGGAGGAAACCACAAGGCCAAGGAAAGTAGAAAATAACATCATCACAAAATGTGACACACTGTGACAGATGATGTTCAGGAAACAGAAATAACAAATGAACACCATATTCAAATTAGAATTGTCATGATAAATCAGTCCAAAGAAGATAGAGTACAGAACTGAATAAAAATATAATAAAAATATGGCAAACATGAAGCTTACTTATAAAATGTGTTGTGGAGCAGAGAAAGGGCTGAAAAATACATAGGCATACCTGGAAAAAAAATGTATGTAAATGTGTACATATACAAGTAAGTGGACAGTGCGTAATCTGGAGTATGGACCAATGTATCCTCTATATATTAGTAAACATTAAAGTACTGCACACAATAAATCTCAATTTTATTTTAAAAACCACAAATGCAAAAATGATTGTATGTTGGTAACTGAATAGGTTAATTCCTGTAATGATAATATTCAGTATATGGATTCCATTTCTTATGTGACTCCATATTTTTCTTCACATTTACATGCAGACTAAGTTGCCTAGCAAAAGTGGTAGTTTCAGGGATTTGGACAAACTATTATACTGGCAGAACTAAAATGTATAATAAAACCCGTAAGCAGGCAGGCTCTTTATTGCAGAGACATGCAATGTCTCTTCTGCAAGAAAATAAACCTACCGGCATATTCATAGTCTTCTGTAGAATGTACAGTGAGATGAGCATGCGCAGTTTAGTTTACAGTCTGGAACAGTGCCTGTGTAGTGGGATGGGTGCATCCTGCATTAGCCAAGATGTCATCCCGCATTAGCCAATCAAGATTGGTTGAATGTTGCACCCAAAACAAACTGAGCGGAAGATGCCGGTGAAGGACCTTACAGGCACTGGACCACTGAAGCAGAGGTAACTATAGTTTTACTGTAAGTCATAGAGTTTAAACATTTTTGCCAACATTTTTTGCTTAAAAAGCGTAAGTTGGAGTTATGCTTTAAATTTTATTTGGTTACAAAAAGTACTCTAAAACCACATATCCGTTTTTGACTACCCAGTCCACAGGGTGACAAAGCTGCTGTAATGTTAAGGTCTTGTTCACCCATGTTTGCCTGCACAACATGCACATGTGTTCTGTGCACCTGTTCAGTAGTTATACAGACAATCTGACATTCTCGTGGAGGCGAGCGCGTGTCCCTGAATGCAGACAGTGTGAGTTTGGGGACACACACCAGGATGACAAATTGGGAGCAGCTGCTGTGTCCAAGTTAACATGAATAGGATTGCCTTCATGGGGATGCACAATACACCTGTACATCCTGTGTGGGCAAACTTGGCCCTTGCACAGGTGTACACTTAAGTATGTCCATGTGATACATGGGCATTCAGAACTGAAAAGCATTATCACCCTATTACAGGAAATGGAAAATCAATAGATCTATGGCAGGATCAACAGGTAACAGGGAAGGACTATAGATCTCCCTGGAAATGTTCCCTCAGGCAGTGGGTGTCATTGAGCTTGCAAGACTGAGGACATCTTGTGCCAAATTAGCGGTACTGCAGAGAACAGTGAATGAATAGGACTGCCTTCATGGGGATGCACAAAACA